TGTCCACCCAAAGACTTCTTCACAAATGTTCATAGGAGCTTTATTTGTAATATCCCCAAACTAGAAGTAACCCAAATGTCCATTAAGAGGTGGAGAAACAAAATGTAGTATATCCGTAACATGGAATAATACTCAGAAATAAAAAGGAATGACCTGTCAACATATACAACAACACAGACGAATCTCAAAATTATGTTGGTGGAAAGAAGCATGAGAAAAAAAGACTACACGGTATATGATTGAATTTATTTAAATTCTAGTTGCAAACTAATTTATAGTGACAGAAACTAGATTAGTGGCTACTGGGGACTGGATTAGAAGATATAGATTACAAAGGGGACAAGAGAACTGTTGAGGGAAATGGAAATGTTTGGTATTTTGATTGTGGTGATGGTTTCACAGATATGTCCCTGTGTCAAAATTCATCATATTGTACACTTTAAATATACGTAGTTAATTGTATGTCAATTACACTTCAATAAAGTAGTTTTGTTAAAAAGGTTCTCAAATGTACTTTTCCTTCCAGTTCATAAAAGAACAGATTTCAAAAGATCAGGATTCTTTAGTCATTTTGAAGGAAAAAAACAGTGTGAAACTGAAAGAAATCATTTATTAAGTTTAACAACAATGCACAGTTAATATTGGTCAGAAGAGAGTATATGAGTGTGCAGGTGAAAAGACACCATTTCCAAAAGAAGTAGTTCTTCTCTTTCTTTCTCTTGATCCAACAAATCTTTTTCATAAAACTTTTTCTGAAACTAACTTTAAAGTTTAAAATGAAACTGTGAAACATTCATGATGAGTTTCTGCCAATTTTTAAATATTCCCTTCAGCATAAGGTAAAGAGAGTGTACTTACAACATCCATAGACATTTCCATTCTGTCCAACTCTAACACAGTCTAAGAAGAACGTTTTTTAAATTATTCAACCACAATTAAATTAAATCAACCAATCACATCTCAAAAGGACTACTTTTCAGGGGGAGGTTCAAGTAGGAGACTTCTGCACTATGTGGAAGGCTAAATTACAAAACCTCTCAAGTTCTTCCCACTGTATTTTTAATCAACCTTTATATAGTAATACCAGGATCTATTTAAACTTTTAAAAGTTTTTAACCTTAAGAAGAGCACGTCTAGAGGAATATTTTAAACCGAGAACACATGCAATTTAACTAATTTTCTCATAACTCCCAGTGCTACTCTTTTCTGAATTTTCAGAAATACATTATAATTTTTTAATTTTTAAAAAATCTTTTAGCTAAATACATATGAAGCATGCTCTCATTTGCCTTAAAATCCTTAGTTCGTTTTCACAGAAACTTTTGATCATTATGACATTCTTAATAGAAAAGACTTTGTTCTGAAAGTATTCCTCAATTTAGTATTTGTCTTCCAGAATACATGAGTCTGAGACAAATTATTTCAGTCAAACACTGGTCCATCCAATCCATGTTCTGTCTCTGACAGAGGACAGTCCATCTCCACAGGAGTAACTTGGACAGCCAAAATAAAGACCAGTCACGTATTCACACGCCCAAAGCTATCCACTGCCAACATAATATTTATGTGAAGCTTTATTTTTATGCTGAAATTTATGAAACTTCTACAATTTATGCTATGAAATATCCTTTTTAAACAAAATTACTTCCCATCTTAGAAAACCACCCAGAGTAAGATATTCCATTTTTATCCCAAAGCTTTGTAGAGCTTCCTCACAGCTTCCCATACCAATACCTCAGTTTAATAAACATTATACCATAGAATTCTCATGGGACAGACTAACTTCCTCACGTGACATGTACTCAAGATAGGAGCTGTACTCCAGAAAAATCCACTGTAGATTAATAATCCCATTAATTTAATTATATCATTTCTTTCAGAATATTTATGGGGTTAGCTTGTCTTATTTCTTGAGTTAATAAATTCTTTCAGGAAAGTAACCCTCTCATGTTTATTATTGTAAAAGTTAACTTCATTGCCTAAACTTCTGTAATTAAATGGTAAGGGCAGAAATAACTGGTAGAAACAAATGTATGTATGCATATACATATATATGTTTTTAGATTTATTTATTTTTATTTTTATTTTTTTGTGAGGAAGTCAGCCCTGAGCTAACATCTGATGCAAATCCTCCTCTTTTTTTGCTGAGGAAGACTGGCCCTGGGCTAACATCTGTTCCCATCTTCCTTTACTTTATATGGGACGCCACCACAGCATGGCCAGACAAGCAGTGCGTCGGTGCGCGCCCGGCATCTGAACCTGCAAACCCTGGGTTACCGAAGTGGACCTCGCGCTCCTAAATGCTTGCGCCACTGGGCGGCCCCAAGATTTATTTATTTATTTATTTATTTATTTATTTGTTTATTTATTTATTTATTTATTTATTTATTTATTTATTTATTTATTT